TTTTATCTCATTTTATGGATTCACTTTTAATCTTTAATCCTTTGTGTTGCCTCTATCCTGTTGCAGCTTACTTCTGTTTTCTTTATTTTTCACATGTACGGCACTAAATTGTTTTGCCAATGAAATATATGATCTAAATAAACTTGTATTGCCTTTATAAATATATTTTAATCTTGTTTCTCTTTACACTGAGGGCAGCATGCCTACTGTCACCTAAAATGATCTCGGAAGGTCACAGCTGCAAGGACACTGTGTCTGGATGGAGATGGGAGCGTCTCTGTGTGTATTTGTTGCTGCACAAAATGCTTTAGAGAAATCTTTCTCCCCAGGGCCCAGTGAATGGCTTGAGGGCTCCGGTTGACAACACTGATAACCAACATCAGCTGCACAGCCAATAAACCCAAAGCATTATGCAGGCACATAAACACACACACACAGTTGGATGCCCAGATTCAGGCACAGTGTGTGAATTTCGAAGAGGTGGAGGGAGAAACAGATGTCATGCTGAAGCTGGGAGGATCCTCATGCTGAGTCCTCTAGGCAAACACACACAGAAACAAACAGAAGAGCTCTGCAGAGAACAGAAACTCTCAGACTCCGTCTCCCCTTTGATGTCAGGCCAACATGTGGCAGAAAGACAAAGGAGGAATCTGTGTGATTCAGAAAAACAAAGAAAGACCTGCTCGGCAAACTCAACGAACCAAAGTGCTGCTAGAGGAGAGGAATATATGCTATTTAGAAAACATGGCTGACACATATAGGAGGCCACTTGATCATGTTGATCATTGATCCATGCTCAGTTTGTATGTGATACCAACTATATAAAACATGTTCCATCACTTACCTTCCTTAGTAGGTTGCAGATCCTCTCAATGTTTCGCAGTCTCTCTCTCTGCAAAAACAACAGTACGGATGTTAAGATTCGCTTTCACTTGATGTTATTGAGCTACAGAAACAAAAAAAAAAGGCAAGTGATATATCTACCATGTAAAGAAACCTTACAGAAGGCTGGTTGTCATTTATTAACCAAAAATCACCAAAAAAAAACACCATATTTTACCAATAAAAATAACCAGAAAACGTACACTGAATGTAAAATGCAATAAGACTCCGTAATATTAAATCAGCAAAGGAAACATTTTCAGATACAGAAGAAATGATGTAGTGT